GGCGCTGTAGAGTTACTACCCTAACAATTATTTAATGATGAAGCAATTTTTTATTTTGGAAAACCTTTTATCATCAACAGTAAGCACGTAGAAACTGTTTTTTACATTATATATATCAGTTAATGACACTCATTATCAGTGCTTTTATTTTTGCTAAAGATAACAGATTCCTCACTTGCCTGTAATGTTTTATTTACTTTAAACTCTAAACATACTTGCTTGTGCTTCTGTAGTATGCTTTATTTTATTTTTTTCAATAATTTAAATTGCTTTATGAAATTACATTTAGCAAAAAAAGATATTATATACTTTAAAAAAAGGTATCATTATGTATGAAATTGTATGCAAAGACCAGGAAAAGTAAGCACTATCTACTACATGCTTCACATTAACATTAATTAATAAAAATACACAAATATACTTAAAGCGTGTAGCAACTTTAATACAATGATGCAGTGCAACGGTTCACAAAATAGTTGGGTTTGTGACATTTTGTTTTTCCCAAATTGGTCACCTTTACCGCAGTCATCACTAAAACATAACACTGCTTCTGTCTACCTATCCTCACTAATACACAAGTATGACCGATCATCTATAAAATTAATTCTTCCTTTATTTTCCACTTATGGGTTAAAACATTATGACAACATTATAGCAGGCTTGTGATACACCAAATCAGCAGCCAATGCATTTCATGGTTTTTCAGCACTTTCACCACAAGTCCTCAATTTAATATTTTTATAAGCTTTTTAAATGATTTAATATTTTTGGATATGCTTTAGAGTACTTTTTTTTCAAATATATTAACATTTCAAAAAATATATAATATATAAAGAAATACATAAAAATATAGAACTATATTGAATATTAAAATATTTGTCAAAATATAAAATCATTTGAAAAGATTATGCACAAATATAAAATTGAGGCTTAAATTAGTGACCTTAACCCCAACTTCAATATTTCTAGGGAAGCCACCTTCCTGATTTCAAGTTGATCCAGCATGCAGTACTATGTGACACCTAGAACTTAGGATAACGTATAAAAAAAGCTCAAGGGACACATAATAGCATTGGTACACAGCCTCTTGCAATAGTATTTCCCTCACTACAGCTGATACATCACTTTTAATTCTGACCCAAGAGTTACTCGACTATGAGTATGATGAGCCAGAGTAAATAAAGAGTAACTAAAATAGGAAACTGTTTAGAGAACAGGCAACTGTACATCTTCTCCACCATATATCTATTTGTTATAAAATCACTTCATCTAAAGTAGACCATGACACAGTTGCACCAGAGCAACCACTACTACAACTGTTACCACCAATATCACCTCCATCAACATTACCTGTATCACCACCATCAACATTTCCATTTGCATTAATCAACCAGGCTACTGTTGTGAAAGCTTTCACTGCTGAAATTTGGTAGTGAATAATGATTTGGCTGAACTGAATATCTTAGCTGCACAAGGGTAAATCATGTGTTGGATGCCCAGTGCTTCCTAGCAAGCCACCACATTAAAACAAGGACCCTTATATGAGAATAAAGAAGGTATACAATCTACCTTATCTTTCCACACACAACATGCTGTGGGTGTAAAATGCCCCTTTGTTCAGCAAGTGGGGCTACTAATAAAAAAAGCAAAAACAAACAGCCCTTGCCCATAAGTGGTGGGTGGAAGTATTAATTTAATTTAATAATTGGGGGACCTAATATTCCACTAAGTGCCCACCCAGAGGCATGCAAGGGGAGGCTATTAGTTTAATATCACCCCCTGTTCTTTACAATTGCTGACTCGTGAGGGCTACATAATTATCAAAGGGAAGTTATCCTGATATTATACAGTCCTCACACTCCCACCCATGGGCTTTAAATGAGGGGCATTAAAAGTGACATCATATACGTTCTTCTTCTTTTTCTTCTTCAAAAATGGTAAAATATAAGTAAACAATAACTGACATGACTATTAAAAATGAAAAGGACCTAGTTTGCGGACCTGTTAAAGGTCCACTCTAGGCACCCAGACCACTTCAGCTTAATGAAGTGGTCTGGGTGCCTGGTCCAGCTAGGGTTAACCCATTTTTTAATAAACATAGCAGTTTCAGAGAAACTGCTATGTTTATTAATAGGTTAAGCCTTCCCCCTATTCCCTCTAGTGGCTGTCTCATTGACAGCCACTAGAGCCTTGAAGTGCTTCTCACTGTGATTTTCACGGTGAGAGCACGCAAGCGTCCATAGAAAGCATTGTAAATGCTTTCCTGTCTGACTTGAGCTGAATCGCGCGCCTTGCTTGCAGCGCATGTATTCAGCCGGAAAATGGGAGGGAGGGAGAGGAGGCAGAGAGCTCCCAGCGCTGGAAAAGGTAAGTTTTTACCCCTTTCCCTTCCAGAGCGGGCAGGAGGGGGACCCTGAGGGTGGGGGCACCCTCAGGGCACTATAGTGCCAGGAAAACGAGTATGTTTTCCTGGCACTATAGTGGTCCTTTAACAGGTCATTGTATTTATTGGGACGTGACTAGGGACTTCAGGACAACTAGCTACGTGTGTGGTGCCACCAGCAGGTAAATAGTTAACCTCATATCTCAAAGCAACCAAAATGGAGACTCGGAATTCAGTTTGTCTGCCCATCTACTAAAATTAGGCTGAATCATAATTCTGCCAAAACCAAAGCTCCAAGTGTAGCTGTCATTCATTTTCAGCAAATGATGTAAGCACAAAATCACTATTTACTTTGTCATTAATCCTGTGATCATGAGATAATGGGAATACCAATAAGAGATACGCCCAATTTTAACTTGATAAGCTTGTTATCAGTTAAAAAAAATTGGACTGTGATCATGCTGAAGGCTCTGAATTTTTATTGGAATTAAAATTGGATCTAATTATTACTGAGGTCATTGACTAATAAACCAACATGTATGTATGCACTTTAGTACCAAATTAGATGTCACTAGTAAACTTAATCATACCTTGTAAATTACACTTTTAATCTGATTTCCTAGGCGAGAACAGAAATACCCCATTGAAAGGGGAGACCAGTCACATTTTTTCTAGATCTCTCTTAGAAGAACATTGAACTGCAGTTGCCAGCAGGTAAACAAAAAAGCATATAGAAAACAATGCAGTAACTATACAAAAGCATATAGTATACAACAGCCATACAAAAGCACATAGTGTACAATAGCTATACATCCTAATTACTGGTGGAAAGAAGCCAACACAGCATTGCTTTCAATGTATTTATGCATCAGCAAGATACATGGTATAAAAAGGCACTTTATCCTGCATAACAGCACAACTTGCTCGAGCAGATCATTGAAAATGGGAAAGGTAAGATTATCTGACTATTTTAAACATTTGTAAAAAGATATATTACATATAACAATAGCCAGATTTTATATTTAATAATAAACCACAAACAGGTAATATTTAAAAAAAAATGTTTACAGTGAAAGACATAGACTTTATCTACTGAACAATATGTTGTGGTGACTTGACACGACTGAACAATGGATTTAAAAATCTAGGCCAGAAAGAAGAAAAAAAACTAAAGTGTTTATTCCATTTTTGGATATTTCCAGCCTAATCAAACAGGAACTTTTCAGAATATATGCTTTACATATTTATTATTTTTAGACTCAGGATTAGGATTTTTCAGTTTGTTTTTCTAGAAATCTGTTAAAAGGACAGACGAGTCTAGGGAATCCAATAAGCAGGAAAACCTCAGTGCTCACTAGTCTCTTTTCACTGTGATAAATTGCTATCATTATGTGAGAGTGAGCGCAAGCTCATGCCAAAAACAAAATGTAACAAAAGTCTATATTCTAATTCTGTCCTAAATGTATATTTAACTCCAACAGTTTTCCTTTGAATAGGATATTAGCTGATGTATTTATAAAGCTATTGCCTTGAGTAATCAAACCAGAAGCATTTTTGAATGGCCTTTCTGGCAACTAAAACAAAAATAAATGTTTAAAAGTCTAAATTGTTCAAATGCGTAATTTCTTCCATAGATTGTCTTCTACGAAGATCGTAACTTTCAGGGACGCTCTTATGAGTGCAACTCTGAATGTCCAGATTTGACCTCATATTTTCATCGCTGCAATTCCATCCGAGTGGAAAGTGGGAACTGGATACTGTATGAACAACCCAACTACAGAGGCCACCAGTATTACCTTAGCAGGGGAGAATACCCTAATTTCCAGCAATGGATGGGTTTCAACGACTCCATTAGATCCTGTCGTCTTAGTCCACAGGTATATTTACCAGAACTTTACCAGAATATTAAAGATGCAGTCCAAAAAACAGTATTGTCCAATTCCAATTAATAATGGTTACACTTTTGAAAATATAACATTTTTAAAAAATATTAAATAACATTTTCATCTTATATATCAAACATCTTTAATATATATCAATGAAAAAGGTATGTTCAGTATAGATTCTTGATGTTTATATGGTTTACATGACATTGTGAAATTCTTGTAGTGTTATTTATAAATTACATATTTTTTTATCCTCATAAAGCACCAAGGTTCATTCAGTGTAAAGGTCTATGAGAGGGAAGATTTCCGAGGTCAGATGATGGAGTTCACTGAAGATTGTCCTAATGTCTATGAGAGATTCCGTCATCACGACATCCACTCATGCCATGTACTTGATGGTTACTGGATGTTCTATGAGGAACCAAATTACAGGGGCCGCCAGTATTACCTGAGACCTGGAGAGTACAGAAGATATACTGACTGGGGTGCCATGAATCCAAGAATTGGCTCATTCAGGAGACTTCACCATTTTTAATAAGTTGTATTAATTAATAAACCAACATGTAATTAATAAATCAATATGTAGACTACAATAAAGGTATCAAGTAATTATCATTTAGGTCTATAATTGTTTTATTTTCTATTTTTGCTTTACGACATAGACAAAGCACAAATACATATTTTAAATGTAATTAATTAAATAGAATATTAAAGAAACACTAAAGCCACCTAAGCAACTTTAGCTTAATGAAGCAGTTTTAGTGTATAGATCATGCTTCTCAGGTTTCAAAGTTCAATTTACTGCCATTTAGGAGTTAAATCACTTTGTTTCTGTTTATGCAGCCCTTGCCACACCTCCCCTGGCTCTGATTGACACAGCCTTCATGAAAAAAATAAATGATTTCGCCTTCAATCAGATGCAATTTACCTTAAAAAATTGTATCTCTTTCTCTGTAAATTGAACTTGCAGGAGGCTCTTGCAGGGTCTAGCAAGCTATTAACATAGCAGGGGATAGGAAAATCTAAATCAAACAGAACTTTTTTTTCTGAACCTTGGTATAATATGGAATCTGAAGCTCTACATGCATCTAGTCTCTATTCTTATATATGGTCAGATCCTGGGAAGCTCTCAAGGGATTTGCCTAATTGTTTAATATCGTTGGCTCACTCTTTGGAAACATGGGCCGAAATTAAGAAAATGTTGGGCTTAACTTATCTAATTCCTAGAACAAGTAAATTAAATATATTAGAAAACAATGTAGAGGATTTATCATTGAGACACTGGCCTAACAAAGACACACTAACTCTATCGGATATTATGCAGGGTGATAATACTCTACCCTTTCAACAGATTGTGGATAGTCTTCATATACCATCTAAAGAATTATTTACATACTTCCGTATCAAACACTATATTCAGAGACATGTTATCCAATCTTCTTTTCCTCGGGCTAAAGAGTTGCAAACTTTATTTTCATTTCAAACTGTACCCAAGGTTATTTCGGTAGCTAACTTGCTTTTTAAAGGCTTAGATACCTTTCCCTATAAACTGGTTAAAATATGGGAAAACGAACTTAATTTAGTGATTTCCCCAAAGGACTGGTTTTCCTCTATAATGCTTGTAAACAAATCTGTCCATGGCCTAAACTTGACCAGTGGAGTGCCACTTTAAGTTACTCCACAGATGGTATTACACTCCGACAAGACTGGCTAAAATGTATACTTCTCAAGATCCTACTTGCTGGAGATGTGGTACCTATTCGGGTACATATATCCATACATGGTGGTCTTGCCCAGTACTAAAACCATTATGGGCCTGGGCTTATAATATCTTTTCCGAAATATCTTTGAATGAAGTATCATTTAAAGATATAAATAAAAATCCAGCTTCGGCCCTCCTCCACTTGAACTGGCCTTTTAAATCAAGTAAACATATTTGCTTAGCTATTCACTGCTTTATTGCAGCTAAAATTATCATAGCGAGACAGTGGAAATCTTCTGATCCCTTTCAGAAAATTTCCTTAATTAATCAAATTAAATTCCAACTGACAATGGAAAATGATATGGTTAAAAACTGGTCAGTGGTCTCCATAAAAAGAGACTGGTATTCAATTTGGCTAAAAAAATGCTCTCTACTCTATGGTAATTTATAAATCCCTCAGGTGACGTGGTTATGGAAGATGTAAATCTATTTGGTTAGTGGAATTTATCTTATGGATAACATGTATCTAAATTTGCGTTTACTTCCATTGATATACTTCTCACTATTTTTCTATAGACTCTTGTTTATCCCATATTAATGACTTCCTGTTTCTGTTATGTATTTTTTTTTTTTTCTGGCCGATTGATTGATATATCTTAATGATTGTATTCTCTCTACATAAAATGATTTATTTACATCAATCGGATGCATTTTGTATGATTGTATGTATGTATTTTTTGAATTGTCTTGTAACCCAAAAACAAAATTTCTTAATAAAAAGTAATAAAAAAAAAAAGAATATTAAAGAAACACTAAAGTCACCTAATCAACTTTAGCTTAATGAAGCAGTTTTAGTGTATAGATCATGCTTCTCAGGTTTCAAAGTTCAATTTACTGCCATTTAGGAGTTAAATCACTTTGTTTCTGTTTATGCAGCCCTTGCCACACCACCCCTGGCTCTGATTGACACAGCCTTCATGAAAAAAATAAATGATTTCGCCTTCAATCAGATGCAATTTACCTTAAAAAATTGTATCTCTTTCTCTGTAAATTGAACTTGCAGGAGGCTCTTGCAGGGTCTAGCAAGCTATTAACATAGCAGGGGATAGGAAAATCTAAATCAAACAGAACATGCAATAAACTTTAGATGACTCTTTACAGGAAGTGTTTAGGAAGACTGTGCAAGCCACATGCAGGGAGGTGTGACTAGGGTTCATAAACAAAGTGATTTAACTCCTAAATGGCAGAGGATTTAGCAGTGAGACTGCATGGGACATGATCTATACACCAAAACTGCTTCATTAAACTAAAGTTGTTTAGGTGACTATAGTGTCCCTTTAATATAACAGTGCTGCTTATAAAAAACAGGTGATATATATGAATAGTGATATCCCCAACGGTTCGCCGAACGGTTCGCGAACGGCTCGCCACGAACGGTTCGCCACGGACTCATCATTGAGTAAACTTTGACCCTGTACCTCACAGTCAGCAGACACATTCCAGCCAATCAGCAGCAGACCCTCCCTCCCAGACCTTCCCACCTCCTGGACAGCATCCATTTTACATTCATTGTGAAGCTGCATTCTTAGTGAGCTGTCCAGGAGGTGGGATTGGCTGGAATGTGTCTGCTGACTGTGAGGTACAGGGTCAAAGTTTACTCAATGATGAGTCCGTGGCGAACTGTTCGGCGAACCGTTCGGGACATCACTATATATGAATGTTTTTAAATTAAAATAAATACGATCAAATATGATGCCATCTGTAAAATTATTAGCTACTTATTAAAATATACACCTTTTATTTTAAATTTTAGGGAAAAAAATATTTCAATACTATTTAATGTAATGCATTGGGACCCAAAACAACATTTAATGAATATTATAAAAAGCATAAACTTAGTTTGTATGTAATGGCAGGTTGATTGCATCTGCTTATTTTGAATTTATAAATTATCTGTGCTAGCAACAAATTAGTTAAGAAAAAAATAAAAAGTAAGGGGCTTTGTTAAGTATGGATTTGTTTATTAATAACTACACATGATATATGCGTGCATCTGATCAAGTATATTTTTTCAAAAATTCAAACACAAAGCATTTAAAAGCAAATTAATTTCTTTTCAAAGCAATTTCTCTCTCAAATAAAACTTAGCAAAAAAGAATGAGAATGTCATTATCTATGGCAATACAAGCAAAGATAAAGAAAAGCAAACACTACATTCTACTTTAGATAATTAATTTACAAAAAAATTCTAAAGAATGATATTTAATTAGAAAGGATAATTGCCAGTAATACAGTGTAAGTGTTAAACATTGTTTGGTGTCCTCTTTAGCAAGGTCCTCTTTAATACCTAACTTTTCACAACCATGGCAGCAAACAATTCTAATTTTCAATTTTCATAATTTTGACTCTGTACGCCACCACAATGGCTTTGAAATTAAACAACCTAGAACAATTGAACTACAGACATTCAGGTTTAATTCAAGGGAATTAAACAAAATATTGTATGAAACATCTATGAAACAGAGCCATTTTCATACACAGTCTTATTAAAAAATATATTGTATGAAACATTTAGGACACAGAGCCATTTTCATACACAGTCTTATTCCAGGGGCTCAAACATAATTGGACAAATGTACACAATCATAAATAAAATGTTAATTTCTAGATATATATATATATATATATATTTTTTTTTAATTATTATTTTTAAATTTTTATTTAATTTCAATTACTTATTATTTGTATTTTATAATAATATTTATATACAATATATAGTTATTATATATATTATATATATATATGTGTGTGTAATTTAATTATAAGTGTATTTTTATATTAATATACGTACATATTAATATAAAAATACACTTAGTATGACATTATATATATATATGTCTATATATCATATTTATATACACATATTTTTTTTTTTTATTAACATTAACATGCATTTTTTTTAATGATTTTACACTAGCAGGGAGACTGCCTGTCAGCACAGGCAGTCCCCCTGCAGGCAGATACATGGACACCTATTGTGACCATGTGATCACTTTGTTGAGCGATCACATGGCCCCAATGGTCCTAATCCGCCATGGGGAGACTGTCTGGGCTGCAGGCAGTCTCCCCACACTGGGAGCACCGCGGATCGCCGCCGGGGGAATGACGGCGATCGGGTAAGTACATTGGAACGTTAGGACGGTTCAGGACCGTCATCGGTCGGCAATGCAAAAATGCCGATGACAGTCCTGAACCGTCCTCGGTCCTGAGGGGGTTAACTAGACTTCAGGCAGGGCAAACTGCAGTTATGCTCAGCGCGCATGACCCTTTCTGAGTTTTCTGACCAGCATCAGAACTGGAAGATTTGTTAATTGATATTTCTTGTCTCAACTGCATAGTGGGAGTTTGACACATTAGTGATGTTTCCAGGAAAAAATAATAAAAAAAGACAAAGTCCTACAAAATGGACAGGAAACACAAATTCTGGTAAGTATGATTACAAATTTTCCTATATTTTTACTTTTTGTTTGCTGTTTTCCTTGTTTAATCAGTAGTTGAAGAGTCCACTGAGGTGAGGTGATGGATATAGCAGTTGATTAATACTTTTCTAGTATATTCTTTTTTTTGTATTTTGTTTTTTAAAAATTCTCTATTTTTAACATGCATTAATAATTTTCAGGTAAATACTTTTTTTGTTTTTGTTTCTTAAAAATTCTTTATTTTTGACATGCAATGAGTAATAGACATGCATGCAATAGCGTAAAGTATAGTGTTATACATTAAACGTGGAATAGGTATTGTGACTTTGATTATGCACTTTTTTCAAGTATATATCAAGTATATATCATGACTCAACTTGTGAATGAGTTTAGTGAGTTCTTGGTAGAAAACGAGTTGAGTCTTTAACAATGAGTGGCGTTTTACTCCGCACCAACATCATCATGTGACCTTTATTTTGAGGCAGGGAACATGGAGGATAACATCTACAACAAAAGGAGAAGAAGATTTGTTTGGCGTGGGGAGGGAATATACCCTAGCAATGATGATTTTCTTTGCCACCGCTGGTGGTAGTATTGAGACCAGAAGCCATCTCACGTAGTGTGGCAATTCCTCCCTGGTAACCGTAGAGGGTATGCCTTGTATCCTAATGTGATTGCAGGGAAACCAGTCTTCCTGCACTGATATTTGCAGTGATAGTCCCTGTTGTGCTGTTTATAGCTGAAGTATGGACATGTCACCTCAGATGTCCTGAACCTCCCCCTCCGTAGCGAACACCTTCTCTGTGACCTACTGCATGCTTGTTTTGAGGGGAGACAGATCTACAGTCAATCCTTTGTATTTCCTGAAACATATTGTGCAGGTTTTGCAGGCCCTGTTTAGTTGCAGTTTAGAACTTACAGTTACTGCTTTAGTCGGTGACTGCAGTCCTGCTCTTGGTGAAAAAACTGAGATGATGAGTGAGGGGTTGTTAGAGTAACTAGGACCTCTGTGGCTGCCTCTTGGCTGGTTCATCCCATTGGAGCAAGGTTCCAATATCCAACTGATCAGTAGCGATTACAGGCTGAGGTCTTTGTGATCGACACCCCATTGTTGGAGTGTCAAGAGCAGCTTGACGCTGTA